GCAAATACAATCAACAAATAAGATAGAAAAAAAAAAAACAAGTACCGAACTCTCGAAGCCATAAATAAATTAAAAGAAAAAAATGCAAGAAATGAAATTGGAAATAAGAACAACAATTAAAGATATAAAATCACACACCGACAAAAAAATGGGCAGGCAACGTGCATCACTCGTAACAGAAAATGTAATGTACATGAAAAGTCGTGAACGATGCGAAGTACCTGACAGGCTGACACTAATATCACACATGCAAAATGCAACATGATACAATGTATCCTACTGCTAATGCACTGGCACCACATGTCGAAAAAAATACAAGAAACAATAGTCTACAAGTCGTGTCGTAGCTGCCTAAATGATACAAGAAAAAAAAATACTGTACAGTCTGAACTCAGTCTGCTGCAACCGACGACACTCTATGAACACCCTACTCAGCCTACTGGCACCAAAATCATACTCTACAAACACCCTACTGCTACCAAAATCATACACACCAAGAAGTAAAGCACGCACACAACCACTGAGTGTCTGACAATACCGAGACAAGACGAGACGACTCAGACTACCAAAAAAACTACAATCGCACAACATGACGGCGTACAGTGCGAGTAGGGGAGAAGCGGAGTGTTGGCCTCATCGGTCAACGACCCTTCTTCCCCTTTACGCTGTGTCTCCTCGTGCCCCCTCGAGTGTCGGATGTCGACTTCTTCCTCCCTCGTGAGGATGAAGAAGTCCGTGCAGCGGAGCGTCTAGATGCACGCGTCGGTGGGGGTCCTGGGGAAGGTGGGGGCTCATCGTAGTCGTCGTCGTCGTCACCATCGGAACCGCTCCTGCTATCCTCCTCACCCCCCTCCTCGCCCTCGTAGTCCTCGTCCACATCCCGCACAACCGCATCCGTATCAGGATCATCCTCCTCGATGGTGACTGTGCCTCCTCCCTTCCCCAACACAACAACCCTCGCACTAGCCTCTGCAATGGTCTGCTCACGGCGGGAACCACGAGGCATCCCCAATCCCTCTGCCCCGAACTCTCTCTAAATGTTGCGCCTCCCTCTGCAGGCACGGGGCGTGGACGAGGAGGCACTCCACACTTGCGTGGAGTTTGCTCCTGCACGGCACGCAACGCTGCTCTCAGAGCGTACTCCAAGGTCTCGGTCGACACTCCTCTGCCACGACCTCGCTGAGGCTCACAATCTGATGTCGGTACCTCCCTCGCCGCGGTTGTCCTAGCGCCTCCTCCTCCCAAGCCCGGCTGAAGGCGTGCAGTGTGCTCCGTGACACGGCAGGTGGAATCCAAATCTGTATCTGTCCTCCCGAATATCGTCGTGTCACACACGTCCTGCTGAACTGCTGTCTTGTCACGAACCTTAGATCTCCCAGGCGTGTGTGGGGATTTGTCAAACATGGTTATCTTCTCTTTTTTGGTCGGCGGCCGGTCAAATACGAAGGCCTTTTAGGGCCCAAATTTCCCGTGTTGTACTAAATTACTTACAGAGGTATGCATACACTCTAGGAATACCTCAGGATAAAGTGCTTGCTCTGAACCAGTGAAAATTGTATAAGCAATGTTCGATCAGCAGGAAACCACAAAAAAGTACGGCCGCTCGCCCTAGCCAGCGACCGCCGAGCTGTTTGGGATCCTCAGAGACTTTACGCAACGCATCTCGAGAGCCTCTGCCTGTGGGCGACGATGATGGATCACCTGCAGGTGCTCTGGGAGGAGGGGGTGGCATGTCTCCTGTGCGTGGCGCTGTCTCCRTCACGCCACCCRAAACCCCTGGAACATGTCCCGCRGTATGTCCTCCGGTGGAGGTAGACCCAGACCACACGGGGGACGCAGGACCCCATGGAACCGAAGGGATCGTCTGCCATGGTGGGTGCTSRAGCCTCCGGTCGAAGATCCGCCGGTCCAAGCGAGTGACATCGCGCACAGCCTCTCTCGCCAACTCCTCTGCATCCAAAGGACGAYGGACCTCCTGCGGAGCAAAGTGGCTAGGAAGACGTGGGGGCACAACCACCGGCTCGGACCCCAAATCCGTGATAACGGGCGGTGGCACACCATGCACTGCCATCTGAACCGCCTGCGGCTGTCGGGCCTGAGCCAAGTGCAGGCCCGAAAACGGAACGACAAGACCCGTCACTGTCTCCTGCCCCTCGACTCGTCGCTGTCCTGCCTGCACAGCCTCTGCTCCACCCGGCATAGCCTCGGGTACCGGCTCTGCTGCCACTACCTCCACGACGTCCTCCCCTGCCACCACCCCACCCTGCACGCAATCCCCCCCTTTCTCTCGACGCCTGGCCTCCTCTACGGCCCGTGCGAACGCCTGAGCACGAGGGTCAGTCGATGCCAAAAGTCTAGCCCTCTCTCGCTCCATGATGTCGTGTGCTGCATCTGGAGACTCAGTCGACGTCCTCTCTCTCACAGTCTGCGTAGAAATCCTGCCTGGCGTCTCGTCCCTCGATGGAGCCCGGTCCGTCGATGTCGCTCCGACGCAATTGGGTGGAAGGCCCACCGACAAATCTCAGTCTAAGTGGGTCCCCATCTCCGAATCTGAAATCCCAAACCCCCTCTCTACACCCGGGGTCATACCCGCTATGGCCGGATCGAGCTCCTCCGTGAGGAACTGCTGCATGAGGCGCTCGTCATCGCCCCCACGCTGCACCTCGGCCTGTGTGGCTATCTCCTCCTCCACTGCAGCTGCCGACGGTGCCTCCTCCTCCTCCACTGCTGCTGCTCCTCCACCTGCTCCTCCTGCTGCTGCCACCTGCCCCTCCACTGCTGCACCTCCTCCTGCCGCTGGTGGATCCTCCTCCAGCACTGATGCGGCCATCTCCTCCAGCACTGATGTTGCTGATTGCTGCTGCTATCTCCTCCGCCGCGGCTGCGATCGTCGCGTCCGACACCGCCGCTGGTGGCGCTGAACTCTCCACTGCTGCTGCCGAAGGTGCCTTCTCCTCCTGCAATATCCCTGGGGAAGGTGATCGTAACCTAAGCTGGCGGACTGCCCCGCCTCTGTGGAGAAGGCCGCGTTAAGGCAAAGAGGACCCCAACTCCTCCCTGTCAGGCTGAAGTGGCGAGACGGGCGATGGTGGTGCAGGACTCGGAGAAGGAGGTGGCGGCATGGACGAATCCCGCCTCGTCGGAGTGGGGGTCATCGCCTGCACCTCTGGGCCGCCAGTGGAAGCGACCTCACGGAATGGGGCCCATAAGTCCTCGTCTCCCCCCAGCATCTCCCTCTCCGCCCGGTCCGCCGCCCGTCGTGCAGTGTGTGCCCTCGTCTCCTCGGAGTCGGGATCGTCGTGCGTCTCGTCAATCTCCCGGGGAATGCAGAGCGCAGGGTCATATGCCGCCTCGGGTATCAGCTCCTCGTCTGAGTCGTCCTCCCTGGGGTAGGGACGAAAAATGCAATCACGTCTATCGAAAACGGCATCAGCCGAGGGTGGTGCGGACGCCCCGATGGGATCTCGGGTAATAAGTGCAACCTGACGGGCGATCTCCTCCTCCGTCATCCCCCTGCGAGTCCCCGAGCACACAGGCTCCAACTCGAGTCCTGCCTTGCAATCCAGCATGCCCTCGTTCCGCTGCCATGGCAGCACATAACCGCATCCAGCCCGCCGATACTCAATCAACCGCACATTTGCGGTGATCTCAACGAGTTGCACGACCTTCTCGAAGGCCAACTGGTTGCGCTTCTTCGTGTGAATGCCCTCGTGGACTGCCCAGTTCGTCTCCGCTGGAGAGGCGCAAGACCACATGTGCATCACCCGAAGAGCGCAACGCTGCAACTCTGGCGCGCCCGACCCGAACTAAGACCACCAAGACGCGCACTCAATCATCTCGCTGTCGCCGCTGCACGCGCGCCCACGAGCACGCTCCTCCGGCCCGCCCTAATCCCCGAACCTGCCCTGCTGAATGTGGAAGTCCTCAAACTGCCGACATGCAAGGATGTACTCCGCACCCTCCAACTCGAATCCCGTCTGCATCAGAATGTACCTCTTGGCTTGCCCCACATGCAAAGCATCGTACCGCTTCACCTGCCCCGAAAAGTAGCGAACGTGTCGCGTGCGGGGGTTCAGTAAGAACCCTGCGCAGTGAGCCGGCTCAAGCATGTGCTATGTGCGAGCCTGCACACGCCTGATGATCCGCTCGGTGAACGACTTCCCCAAAGGGGCGTATGCGACCGTGACACGGAGGACAAGATCCTGCGTCCACTCGATCATGAGGGACATGTACTGTCATCCACGATCCATCCGCCTTAGCAACTCCATGACGGGCTGCATGATATGGACGATGGTGGCCACCCTCTGCCACAATGGATCCCATCTGATCTGTCGGCACACCCAACGCGCTATGACGCACACATCGGCGGACCACGGGATGGAAGAAAAAGCCCGTGCGTCGTCCCCTCGCATCATGTCCTGCAGAGTGTCCCGCAGGGCCAACAGCCTCTCCAGCATGGAGTACACAGACGCGAACCGCGTCTCGCAAGAAAGAATAAGCCCCTTGTCGGGGCTGCGCATCCTAAAAAAATGAAGTGCGGCCTGGTGGGTTTTGAAAAACACCACCAGCACACGAGCGCGTGTGATCGCGTCCACAAACGAGTCGCAACTCGTCCCCATGTCTGACAACAATTTGTTGCAGACATGGACGGAGCACGGGAGCCAAGTGATCCTCCTCAGTGCAGGAGGTATGGACGGTGAGGTCAATGCCCTCGCAGCCCCCACATAGGCAGAAGCGGAGTCAGTGCATATCGCATTGATCCGCTGCGGCCCGCCAAAGCTGAACTCGTGGAAGATGGTAACCCATCTCGGAAGGACGTGCGTTGCATCGTCCGCCTCGCCCTCTCGATTGATCGCCGTGTACACGACGACCCCTCGAGAGCCAGCAGCAAGGAAATTCACGATCGGTCTCCCGTTTTGTGATTTCCTCCCACCGGAGAGGAGGGTGGCACCAGTCACCCAGAATGGCTGCCTCACCTCCTCCAACTCCTCCGCCAACTCCGCACGGTGGGTCTCCACCGCCCGCATACTCGCAATCTCGCAGTGGTTGGGGAGCACTGCGCGCGGGGAACTGCCAGACTGCTCAAGAAGCACCTGCTGATATACCTTCCACGCCTGGTTGCAGAAGGCATTGAAGGAGACCCGACTGGAATACAACCAGCGAAGGAATGCCTTCTTGTGGCGAGCAACGCACTCGCCACCGTAGACATCAGTCACCTTCTGCTGGCGAAGCCTCTTCCCTGCTGGGGTGGCAGCCGGATCACTCCCCCCTTCCTTCCTCTTGGAAGACCCCTCCGTTGCAGCTTCATTGCCTGCTCGCCTCCACCAATCCTCCAACCTCTTGCTAGTGCCTGGATAAACCTCAGGCACATCCTCCCGTTCCGGGACTCCCTCCTCACCCGGGCCACGCGCCTCGTGATCCACGTGGATCACGCCCTCCTCCGTCTCACCGCCTCCACCACCCAAAGTGGGGTCTGCCGCACCATGCCCACCATCTCCCCCGACCCCTCCCTCCGCCGGACGCCGCCCCGCCTCTCCTCCCCTTGCACCACCCGTGTCGGGCACATCGAGTCTGCGCTCTGCCGCATACCTCGCAACCCTCTCCATCTGATCGGCCTCGAACTGCTGCTGAGTTCGTCGAGCAATCGAGCAATCTCGTACAACGCCTCGTCGCTGACGTCCTTGCAGTAGTTTGTCTGCGAGAAGTGCCTCGTGGCCTGAAACTGGGTCCCTTGGAAAACTTTGTTGCAAAACGTGCAACGGAGCATCATGACCCCCTTGTTGTCGACCTTCTGGCCGACAACCAGGTACCGATAGACAGGGGAGCGGGCCCTGAATGTGTCCTGCACATGGTCCGCGGCAGCCTCATGCTGACGGCGTTGTGCCCTCCCTATGTCGGTCACCCTAGTGAGACAACCCTCGCTGACTCCCCCCGACCGCACCACTGCAACCCAACACCCCGATAACCGCTGCCCGCCGCAGGGTCCCCCTTCCCCTGCAATCCAACCCTCCTTGCAATCCAACCCTCCTTGCAATCCAACCCTCCTTGCAGTCCAACCCTCCTTGACCACCACCCGCCTAAGGGTCCCCCGTGTACCACCCCCCACAGACTCCCTCGCTAGCATGAACCCGTGCAGAGCCCGCCGAACCACCGCAAACGCACCGCGGACCTGCGCGTTGAACTACGTTTAACGGCGTTGAATTAAAAATTCAACGGCGTCATTCGGGAACGCGCGTGGCGGTTCGCAGCCATCGCCGCACAGTTCGCTGCTCCGCCTTCGTCGCGTCGGCGCCGCCGCTCCGCTGCTCTCCACGCTCCGCTGCAACAGCTGTTTCTCTCTCTCTCTCTCTCTCTCTCTCTCTCTCTCTCTCTCTCTCTCTCTCTCTCTCTCTCTCTCTC